GATGGTCCGCTCGTGCTGACACAGTTAGCGCCTTACAGAAAGGTTACAAACAAATTTGGAAGCCTTGATAATAATTGCTCAAGATACGAATCAACCTGGAGAGACCAGATATGAAGCTTACAGTTTATCTAAAAAAATGAATAAACTAGAAATTGTTATTTTAACAGAGATGTGGAGCAACATATTATCAAGAATCAACAAGACAAATATTGCCCTTCAAAAAAAGGACCTAACATTGGATATTGCGACGAAGTTGTTGACTTCTCTCGTTGATTTTTTTGATAACGTGAGGAATGAATTTGACCAGTACGAATTTACCGCTAAAGAGAAATTCCCAGATGCTGACTACAAAGATGTATCGCAACGTGCAAGAACTCGAAGCTCTCGTATTACTTTCTTTGATGGACCAACAGAGAATGTGAGTCTTACTGGTAAAGAAAAATTCAAAGTGGAGACTTACTTACCAATAGTTGATACATTAATTACTCAATTAAATAAACGATCTGCTTCATACAACGAAATCAACCAACGGTTTGGATTTTTTTCTCGTCTAAAAATAATTAGTTCACCTGAACTGCAGATCAGTTGCAAAGAATTTGCTAAATTTTATCATTATGACGTCAATGCAGAAGAACTCAAGTTGGAATGCATATATTTAACTCAATATTTGCACAAAGCCGATATTTTGACCAATGAAAATGGAGAGATGCAAATTTCAGAATTATATAAACTACTGCAAAATGACAAAATTGAAGATACTTTTCCTAATATTGCAATATCGCTTAGAATTTTTCTTTCCCTCATGGTTACCAATTGTAGTGGCGAACGCTCTTTTTCCAAACTAAACCGAATAAAAAATGAGATTAGGAGTTCTATGACCCAGGAAAGGTTGAACTATTTATCGTTGATGAGTATCGAAAGTGATGTATTAATGAAGTTGGACTTTGAGGAAGTAATTGAAGATTTCGCTCGTCAAAAATCAAGAAAGAAGCCACTATAATAAATGTTTAATGAAAAAGGTTGCCAATTATACGTATACATTCTGTTTCAGTTTTAATAATTGTGCAATGTTTATATTAGAAATAATGAAAATTAATAATTAATATAATTATTTTATTAAAAAATGTTAATTCTTGTTTAAAAAAATGTTTTAAATAAGGGCCCCTTAATTAGTGTAGGCCCTAGGGCCCCTGTTATATAAAAGACGGCCCTGCGATTACTTATGAAAAATATAATGAAGTGGCAAAGTACTCCACAGTTATCTTGGCAAAGAGAGTTTCAAAGAAGACAGCTGCTGAAAGCTTTTGGTATTTATAAAATGTTGAAAAGAATAGAAAATCTGAAGATCCAACAATTTTGGGTGCGTTCAATATTTACCGAAGAACGGAGGCACTTGCAGGGAGCAAGTGATAATTTAATAAGAGAAATACAATATATTGATATGGAAAAGTATATTGAATATCTACGCATGGACACTAGGGCGGTTCAAAATTTCAAAAATATTTTTTTTTCGTCGCCTTCTTGAAACCACTGTTTCTTTATGGTTAAAAACAGTCACTGAATTTTTTTCAGATTTAAAAAAAAATATTTAGAAGTCGCACAAGTCACATTTGTGACGGAATTGAAAGATTTCCAGTTTTTCGCTATTAATTTGAAAAAATAGCTATTTTTTTACATGAGATACTCGCTGTATATTTTTTTTTCATAAAGTACACCTCTTGACCTTTCCATTTCACTATAATAAAATTATTTATTCTTTTCTTAAAAAGCAGATATGATTTTTTAAACAAACTTTTTAATTTTTTTTAGTTAGTTTTTGACCGATGCCTTGATTGATAAATTTTTTTTGACAATTTAATCATATCGGAATTACTCCCTGATGTTTCCTGAATATCCTAAAAAATTGTGGAAAAAATTTATGCTATACAATCGGAGATAAAAGCGTTTAAAGTATTAGTAATGAGGTTATATAGGTTGAGAGGATACTTAAACACATTCAATATATGTTCAAAGCATGTCTTTATTCTTGATTTGTTTAAATTCATATATTAATATATTAATGTATTAATAAACTAATAGTATATTCATTTATTATATAATATTTTATAAACATTTTTAACATAAACAAAGGAATTTTATAAAATAATTAAATTAATTCAAGTTTACTGATTTCTTAAAAGAATATTTCTCTCTTCTGTGATATTCTACCACCTGCAGTAGATACTGTTTTTGTTCTTCTTGTTTCGTAAGCACGGAATTAAAATTTTGAATTAATGAAACACCCCTTTCTGCTACATCATTAACTACCTTCAGTTGTCCTATTCGATACCGTGACTTAATAAATTCCTCATTTTCTTCCCATAGACTTGGATCTTTATGTAGAAAATTTAAACTTATTCCGTTGGTAATGAAAATCTGTTTACTATTCTCTGTTATGAAGTCTGATATTTCATTTACGTCGATTGTATCTTTGTCCACGATGATACGTTTTGGAGGTATTTCTGTGCCATCCTTTCTCAAAGAATTTGTCATTTTCTTCCTTTCTTCATTTGATATTCGGGAATCGAATAACGACAAGCCAGCGAGTGAGTCACTTAGGTACCATAAGTGCCTAGAAAAAGTGTCGTATGCTGCTTTTGAAACTGTAGGATTTATTGATTTGTATTGAATAAGATCTTTTAACAGCTCTAAATCATTTACTGGAGCTAAAATTGGACATTGACTGGTATACCACTTTTTCAAATATATTTTAATTAAAAATAAGTTGAACTGACGAAGCCCAGATAGCTCACTTGCTCTTACTTTAAACAGACTCCTGAAAAGGTATATTTTCATACAATAAATTAATTTAGCCATCCACCGTGCTCTATGGTAAGCTCCTGGACTTCGAATTTTAATTTTGTCTTCAGCACCTAAGAATATAAGAGACAAAATAAGTAGCTCCTGATTTCATTCGAAATCAGCTTCTTCTTTTTCAACCTCGTGAGGACTATAAGGGGCAAAAGTTAGTGCGCACCAGTGCGCACTCAGTTCACACCAACACTGGACGAGTTCCATGGGTTGCACTGAATAGTGCAAGTTCAAAAGAATACGCC